TTGCACTGAAACATAAATTTTGGTTTGCCAGGTGCACCAGAACCTTATTAATTCCTAACATTAATTGTCCTACAGACTATGAACGTTTACGAATTGGAGGCCTGGTCATTACTGGCTTGTTGCTGGTTGGAGGAATCAGCGTTTTACTTTGTAAGTGCTGAAAATCACACAGGTTAAGGTTGTTTACTGTAACTGAGTTGATACTGAAACAAAAGACATTTAGCTATTCATACTGGAAAATATGTAAAAGGTTTTATGTGCATAATTTCTTTTTAAATCCCAAATAATGTCATAAAGCTATGTCAGCATTGGTATAATTGGAACAGTGATACAAACATAACTGAGTGTGAAGCCTCAGTGACAGATTCTGCTTTGCCTTCACAGATAGGAAATGCCCCAGAAGACACAAGTAAGTCGTCTTTTTCCTAAAACTCACTAACAATTGTCTATGTGCATGTTTGTGTGTCTAAGTTCTGACATGTGGCTTGCTCCACCGGGAATTGTCTCTCTCTCTCTCTCTCTCTCTCTCTTCCCAAACTACCACACACCTTCTATCTTTCCATGTAGAAAAGCGGAAGAGGGCAGTAGTCTAACCTAATTTCATGCCTGACAAACTGGTTTCAACCCAGAAGAAGACTGACAAGGGGTGGAGAGACTGGGTGTGTGGTGGGAAGCTCAAAGGAAACACACCAGCTCAGATGGTTATATTACAGACCTGTGCAAAGATATAACATTTATTTAAAAAAAATAGGGAGGTGACATGAGAAATTCTACAAGATGTAAAAACTGTTTCATAGATTGACATCATGAGTGAGATAAAATTAATGAAATACGATGTTTAGTTTTGTTTAATGTTGGGTCTAACTTCTGAAATGGTGGATTATCTGGAACATAATCTCTAGTCAATGCTGCTTGTTCATGTTATACGATACACTGTAGAGTTAGATTATCGTTGTGGTCAACTATTTCAACACACACACACACACAAAACTGGGAAAAGAAACTACTGTTGGAACAAGTTGTTAGAAACCTTTGATGCAAACATTCCAAATTAAAATAAATGTGACTATGCTAAACCTAAATTGTAGCAGCCTATCTCAGATGCCTGGTAGCGAGAAACTACAAGATGCAACCACTACCAGTCGGAAGCTATAGCGAGCACTTTGGTTACAGTTAGAGAGCTCAGTGCACTGCAGCCGAAAACCAAACACAGATACATGCAAGAAATGCAGAGAACAACCAAATAGTGAAGGCTGCAGGTAGCGCAGACTACAATGACAATGTTTCTAGGGGATTTAAAACGTGATGAACACAGCTGGGACAGCTTGTTGTTGCCATGGTGACCTATCAAGTGGCACCCTCCCAACCCCATAGACCTACATTTTGGTCAAATGATTAAAGTATTATTCCAGATAATTACCATTAACCCTGCACTACTTCGGTAGCTATTTGGATGTGTTATGTATTTATTTGCCACTTTGCAGCGTTTAGAAAGAGCGTTGTCTATTTGGTGATAATGTCTTTATTTGTTTTCCTGAGCTGGAGTGCGTTGAGCTCTCTGGGCCACCGTAGTTAATAGTTCATGACTTCCATGCCAGAATGGGAGTAAATCAGCCCAAACTTCGATATCTTCGTTCCCGACAACCAAGCATTAAAGCTCCACTCCTCCTCCCGGCTGTTCGTCCTGATCCTGGATCAGCTTCCACTCCCCGCTCCTCTCCAGCTGTGGGCACCGCAGGACAGCAAACACCGACCCGGGATCAGGATTCACCGACAAAACTGTAGAACTTAAACTCAGCCCCCTTTTCTAAAACCAAGCCAACCTGTTGCGCGTCCGTGAAGGCAGGGTGTTGGCGCATTGGGGAAAAGTTACATAACCGTCTGCTTTTGAGAATTCTCCTCGTCTTTGTTGCTGCTAAATACAACTCGTCAGAGGTAAGAGTTGACCAAAGACATTAGTTTATATTTCAGAGAACAGTGTTTTTTTACAAGTGTACTGTTCAGCTGAGGAAATTTGGTTATGAAGTTCAGGTTCGAGTTCATGTGCGCATCGTTTTAACTGAAGCAGAGTTTAGTGTTAGACTAGTTTGGATATGTTTAAAGCAGCTAAGCGAGTGTGTTTTACACAGTAGCAAAGGAAAATTGTAGTTAAATGAATGTATTTGTTATTACTGTAAGTGACTCCTCCAGTTACTTAAGATGTCATAAGGGCTCAAATCTATACACATTTGGATTCACAACAGAGAAAGGGCTATCATTCATTAAGTACAAAACAACCAATGTCATGTTTTCCGGCTAACATCTCCCCTCCAGCCCACCGGAGACGGGAACGCTGTGCGCCCACGGGCCAGCGTGCGTAACGGCCCGGTATTCCCGGGACAGAGCAGTTTTTAACTCACTAGATTTATAAAACAAAAGGCAAAAAACGAGATAAATCCGGATGCAATGACCTGTATGATTTGATACAAAGCCTAGTTTTCTTTCACCTGTTACCAAAAATTTAAAAAGTCTAAGACAGGGGACACGTGTCATGGGCCAAATTACTGAATCCAGACATCCAGACGTTTTATTCCTCAGATTTATAGGAGGCTACAGTGACGACCACCTGCTGTGGAATTGTTGTTGCACACTGTTGCGTTCGTTCATGATCACATACTGGAGAGAGGCCAGCTGATAAGGGCAGTGGTGATAGCAGTTGCTACTGTGTGGCAGAAGGGCAGACTGGGGCAAGGACAAATGCAGGAGCTGTCAAATTCTGCTCTATAATGTTGTCAAGGCCACTTTCATTTATATAGCCCGGTATCACAAATCACAGATTTGCCTCAAGGGTCTTTAAATGTAGATGTGTAAGGAAGACAGAGAATATCGATTAGGCCTATTTGTTTGATTTACAGTTTGCAGTGGCAGAAATCACGTAAAGATCTGTAACCTTCAAGAATTTGGTGTTTTTACTAGAAAAACAATGAAAAGTTATGGACAATTAATTGGTTATCAAACTGTCATCCATCAGTCATCTGCTGGTCCATTTTTGACTAATTCTTTCAGCATTAATGGGAAGGAGGATTCTGCATTGCTTATACACTGTCTGCAGACGCACATTAAGGTCTTTGGCAAAATGCCTGTAAATGATTATCAAATGATGGAGATGCATAAACAGCTGAAACAGCTTGTAGCATAATGTGCTTTTGTGACCCATGGTTACAACAGGTAGCTGCACGGGTAAGCATAAAGCCATGGGTAAACATCAGGCTTCACTGACTCCTCCTCAGATAGAGCATAGGTCCTGATGTTGTAGCCAGTGCACAGACAATAAGAAGACAGCATCTGCATTACTATGTGGCTGCTTTGAAAAATATAAATGCATGTTAACGCTACTCATATAATCATAGTTTTTCAGAGAGATGAAAGAAAAAAGGTGAGCGAGGTGACAGGGTGGCAGACACAGATGGAGAGAGGGTGAACGAAGGTGATGAGGGACAGAGCTGTCTTAGCTCTCTGTCCTCACCTCTCCTCACATAACCTCAGATCTTAAAAAGAAAATGAGAGAAGTGAAGAAAACAGTGGAACACAGATGGAAGGGAGAAAGAGAGAGCAGTTTTAGGTGGCACACACTTTCTCCTTGTATCACTTTGGTGGCTTACAAACAAATTAGAAACCTCAAGGAGAAGCTATTGATTTTATACTGAAGGTGGGACTGTGGCTTTCAGTTTATTCCCTGTGTAACCACAATGCGTTTATCTATTCATTGTTTTGCTAATTATTTCCTGTTTTTTAACCAGTCCAGATACAGCTCATGGCAATATCAGAACAGTTGAAAAACTGCTACTCTCTCAGAGGCACAGGGTATTAAAATGTAAAACTGTTGACAGCAAAACAGAAGATTTGTATTGTATACAAAGGTTATTAGAGCATAGAATAATAGTTTAATGAACTGAACGTGATATGAAATGATGGACCTGTACTCTGTCTGTATGCACCAATCATGACTGCAGTGTGAGAGCAGGAAGTCTGCTGCTAGCCGCCCTCTGCATACCTTGTGCTTGCCATGTGTGACTTAAAGCTCTAGTACGCGACACTCCCTCTTATGCTCCGTTTGTCTCTTTGTTTCCTTCTTCATCCTTCTCTCCCCTGTTTTGCTCACTCACATTTCCCTCCTTGATTTATTGTGTTCTCCTTCCCCTTCAGTTCAGAGCAGCCACTTGATTCCCCACCCTTCTTCCTTGTTTTTCCTTTTGCACTTTAATGATTCAACACTTGAGCTGCATCTGTTAAAGGGATCTTTTGTTCAGTAGCTGTTAGCTGTTATCAGCAAGCTGTTCAGCAGCCACAGAGACAAAAACCTCTGCTCATTAATAATTAAGCAATACATTTGAGGTCATACTCTTAATCAATCACTTTTCAAGGCATTCAGTTCTAGAAGGACATCATGTGCTGTAATTTATCCATCCATCCATTTTCCTCCGCTTATCCGGAACTGGGTCGTGGGGGCAGCAGTCTAAGCAAAGATGCCCAGACCTCCCTCTCTCCAGACACTTCCTCCAGCTCCTCCAGGGGAA